ATGTAACTGTGCATACTTACTGTATTTTTCACATGGATCAGAAGTTAAGGCTGGGAGAAAAATGCAGCACATTCCGGAAAATTATTTCTGAAAGCTTATAAACATCACTTGTGTGGACACACATCAGAACAGACAGGTGTTGTGCCCCTGGGAGACTGAGGAAGGGGCTGTAGCTTAGGGGTAGAGTGCATGGCCTGCTTAGACAAGACCCCAGCATGACCAGGCAGGGCTGGAATTGTCCCCTGTCTGCAACCCTGAAGAGCTGCTCCCAGCCAGCAGATGATACTGAGTGAGCTGGATCAATGGTCTGTCTTGGTTTGAGGTAGCTTCCTATGAGCTGCATTAGCGAGGAATTAATCTGAGCATAATTTTCTCAGAGACGGCAGCTGTTTTTGAAATCAGGAAGGGATCCTGCTGTACCCATGAACATGTGCAAACTGAGATTCCTGTAACAACAGCTAGTAGGCAGTACAACTCCAACAGTCTGAGGTGGGAGTTTTGCCTCCTAAAATACCCAGGTGTGTGACTGTTGTTATCCAGTGGAATGCAGTCTGTACATGCTCAGAGGTACAATAGCCATTATTCTTTCCTCACATGCTCAAAAACAGGGTCTGGAACAGGCATAGGCAAACTCCGGCCCTCCAGATGTTTGGGACTACAATTCCCATCATCCCTGACCACTGGTCCTGTTAACTAGGGGTGATGGGAATTGTAGTCCCAAACATCTGGAGGGCCGGAGTTTGCCTATGCCTGCTCTGGAAGAACCTAGCTCAAATGAAATCCTGGCTCAGACAAGTCTGTTCCAGGGGGCCTTTTTAAAAGCCACAACACTTCTCTATTTCCGGCTCCCGCAACGGCAAGAGTGTGTGGTTCACAGCTGGTTTTCTTCATGAGCCACACTTCACAAGGTCTCATTAAGCAAACAAACTGTGATTCCTTTTCATACCTGGCCTAATTAATAAACTGTGTGTTCCACTCCCACCTTGCTTTCTGCCACTGTTCTCACTTCAGAACTGATGGGTCAGGAGCAAACTTGGATTTGAGTCCTTAGGAGGACTCGGCCCCACTCAGTCCCTCACGCCCTATTTTTGAATTGACGTCAGAGCCACAACTGACAGTTATTATTTATATTGTGTCCTTAGTGTACATGGCATTTTTCAGCATAAGAAAAGGAAAAGGGGGGGAAGAAAGGCAAGGTCCTTGCCCTCAAAAGGTAATAATCTATGCAGGAAGAAGTCAGAGAAGAGGAGACGGGGAGAAATAAAAGGATGAATATGAACAGGTGCAGTTATGGGGGAGACGGAGGTAGACTGGGCCTGGGGAGGTGTCTGAATCTGTGGCCCTCTGGATATCACTGCCCCATCAGGCTAGACTATTGGCCATTGCTGACTGGGGCTGATGGGAGTTGGCGTTCAACAACCTATGAAGGGCCACAGGTTTCATACCCCTGGATTAAAGCAGGATTATTATTATTATTATTATTATTATTATTATTATTATTAATACCCCGCCCTTCCCAGTTCAAAAACCAGGCTTAGGGCATCTAACAGCAAATTTAAAACACTTTAAAACACTTAATTATAAAAGCAGCATAAAATACAGTATAAAAACATGAATAACAATAAAATTCAAAAATCAAAAATCAAGTAGATAATCCCCAGGGCTAGCTGGCTGAATTGGTCCTACAGTGGTACCTCGGGTTAAGAACTTAATTCATTCCGGAGGTCCGTTCTTAACCTGAAACTGTTCTTAACCTGAAGCACCACTTTAGCTAATGGGCCTCCCGCTACCGCTGCACCACCACCGTGCGATTTCTGTTCTCATCCTGAAGCAAAGTTCTTAACCTGAAGCACTAATTCTGGGTTAGCAGAGTCTGTAACCTGAAGCGTATATAACCTGAAGCGTATGTAACCCGAGGTACCACTGTACTTGGGCCAGTGAGGAGGCCAGGGGAGAATTAGCTGTGGGGTCTCAGAGCGGGTGATCTTCATAAAAGGGGAGGGGGAGGAAAGAGAAGGGAAATAAAAGATCAGGCTGAATTCAAATTAAAGGCCAGGCGGAATAGCTCTGTCTTACAGGCCCAACGGAAGGAGGTTAAATCCTGCAGGGCCCTAGTCTCATGGGACAGAGCATTCCACCAGGTCGGAGCCATCACTGAAAAGGCCCTGGCCCTGGTGGGGAACCTGTGGCTCTTCAGCTTTGTTGGACTCCCATCAGCCTCAGCCAGCATGACCAATGGTCAGGGATGATTAACAACAGCTACTACTTTATCACCTCTTATTTACCAGCAAGTCTCAGGGTTGGCTGCAACAATTCAGAATTAAAAACAGTGGAAACAGTCACAGGAATAGGGCGCATCCTGAAAACACACATCTCGGGAGTCAAAGGCCAACATGTGTGTCTTCAGAGAGCCAATGTCGTATGGTGGTTAAGAGCTGTGGACTCGTAATCTGGTGAACCGGGTTTGCTTCCCCGCTCCTCCACATGCAGCTGCTGGGTGATCTTGGGCTAGTCACACTTCTTTGAAGTCTCTCAGCCCCACTCACCTCACAGAGTGTTTGTTGTGGGGGAGGAAGGGAAAGCCGCTTTGAGACTCCTTAGGGTAGTGATAAAGCGGGATAAAGGTAAAGGTAAAGGTACCCCTGCCCGTACGGGCCAGTCTTGACAGACTCTAGGGTTGTGCGCCCATCTCACTCAAGAGGCCAGGGGCCAGCGCTGTCCGGAGACACTTCCGGGTCACGTGGCCAGCGTGACATCGCTGCTCTGGCAAGCCAGAGCCGCACACAGAAACGCCATTTACCTTCCCGCTAGTAAGCGGTCCCTATTTATCTACTTGCACCCGGGGGTGCTTTCGAACTGCTAGGTTGGCAGGCGCTGGGACCGAGCAGCGGGAGCGCACCCCGCCGCGGGGATTCGAACCGCCGACCTTTCGGTCGGCAAGCCCTAGGCGCTGAGGCTTTTACCCACAGCGCCACCCGCGTCCCTGATAAAGCGGGATATCAAATCCAAACTATTACTACTTCTTCTTCTTCTTCTTCTTCTTCTTCTTCTTCTTCTTCTTCTTCTTCAGTATCTGCTGAAAGCTGTGAAGGTACCAAATGCACCTCTGTGGGGAGGGAATTCCTCGACTTAGGAGCTGCCACAAAGAAAGCCCTCTCTCAGGCCGCCACCCCAAACTTCTGAGGGTGGTGGGAACCCCTCTGCTGAACATCTGGGAAGGTCTGTAGAGAAGGAGGCGTTCTTTCATATATTTGGGGCCTAAGCCATTTAGAGCTTTAAGCACAAGCGTGAGCACCTGGAATTAGGCCCAGAAACACATTGGCAACCAACACAGCTGTTTCAGAACAGGGGTTATATGTGCTCTAAAGGCAACTCCAGCCAGTAATCCAGCTGCTGTATTTTGGACCAGTTGATGTTCCCAAGTCATCTTCAAGGGCAGCCCCACATAGTGCAATAATCCAGGCTGGAAGTTTCCGGAGCATGGAGTACCATGGCCAAGTCACCTCTGCCCAAAAGGGGCTGTCGCTCATGTACCAGCTGCAGTTGGAAATAGGCAGCCCTGGGTCTCAAGGCCACCTGGGTCTCAAGTGACAATGTTGAATCCAGGAGCAGCCCCCATCTTTGAACTTTCTCCTTCCAGGGGAGTACAACCCTGTGCAGAACGAGCCTGTCTTCCCACCCCCTGGACTCGAGAACTTGGAAAACCATTGTCTCTTCAAGATTTAGCTTGAACCCATCACTACCTCCAAGTACCTGTCTAGCGCCTCAGCCACCTCTCCTGATTTAGATGGAAAAGATAGAGCTGGGTGTCATCTCTATATCGGTGGTACTTCACTCCAAAACGCCTGATGACAGCCCCCAGTGGCTTCATCTACATCAGCCTTTCTCAACCTGTGGGTCCCCAGCTGTTGTTGAACTACAACTCCCATCACCCCTAGCTAGCAAGGCCAGAGCTCAGGGATGATGGGAGTTGTAGTCCAACAACATCTGGGGACCCACAGATTGAGAACCGCTGATCTAAATATTACAACAGCATGGTGGAATCCTGCAGGACACCACTGGCAAGCTTTCAGGGTAACACACCGTGGTCTCCTTTGGTGTTGCACCTTTGGGGTCAACCCACCGCTTGACAACAGCAGACCTATCAAAAATTTCTGCAACCTCCACCTCACATAGTTGTCATTGGCCAGAAATTGCTTTTTGGGGAAAGGGATACTGATGAAAGTATGTGTGTGGAGGGGAAACTATCAGGGATCAGATGAAACACCACTGCGGTGGCAGGGACTGGTTATGAAGTCTCAGGATGAGAGAGCAAAAGGATGTGGGGAATGGTGTATCATATATTTCACCATCATTTTGTACCTTAATGTCAAACCACATACAGCAGTCCCTGCAATCATATAGAACACATTCTTTTAGCATATCAAGGGCATGCTGGATTATGTTTTAAAATAAATGTTCAGCTTCAAGTCCTCATCACTATAGACTACCAAAAAAAATCTAAACTTGAAAATGTGCACCACTGACTGACCCTGTAGCGGTGACATTGCTACAAGATCTGATGCCGTTCTGGTCAGTATTCAGATATGTTCCTTTATTTCCAGGGCCCTGAAAGAGCCCATGCTCTCAGATACTGAAGACCTGCAGAGAGATAGAAATCTGTAGTTGCATCCCTACAAAATATCCTCTTTTGTGACTCCAACGTTTAACAGTTCACTCCTAAAGTGAGAAGCAGTGAAGGCAAGAAAAAAAAAAAGCTGGCAAAGTTCTATGCTGGGCTCATCGCCCAGTGAGAGTGGGGCTGGGTTGCCAAATCTGTAGGAGGCGGCCTTGTGTGGGTGTCTTAGGAAGGCTGTTTGGACAGAGAGTATAAGGGAGTGACAGTCTGGATCTCTCTTTCTATCACACATGCAAATCCGCGTACACAGATATCAGTCAAGCTCGGAAGCTGAAGAATAGTCAGATTCAAAAACTGACACAGATACTGAGACATCTGCTGGGTTACAGAAGGAGTGCTGGGAGCCAGGACGTTTGGTTCTGTCCCCAGATCTGGATGGGAGAGCAGCTCAGTTGCTAGATCATAAGGGGGTTGTGATCAGGACAGATCAAAGCTGCAAGAACAGTTACTTTGGTTCCAGGACTTTGTGATCAATGCCCACCTCCCACCACTCCCCAGCAAACTGAGAACGGGAATAGATAGTCAGAACAAAGAGGAAGATGTGTCAGGGTTCAAGGTCTCCCTCCATGGCTGGGACAGAGAGGTGAGAAAACTTCAGCACCTAGGACAGAGTCACAGGTAAGGGTTGATTTGTGCTATATGAGAAATAGGGGTGTGATAAGTTGCGTGACTGGCTCGGAAGAAATGGGATCAAGGGGCAACCAATTAAGTTTCTCCAGTCTTTTGTAGCTGGAGGTGTCTTGGCACCATAAAAATTGAAGGCAAATAAGAAGCAATATGCATATTTTGCTGAGCCAACTTGCCATTTTAAAAAAATGACCCAGAATTTCAAATGGAATTAAAATGCAACATTCTTTTACTATAATGCTGTTACAGTGGGTCTGAACCCAAATAAGCTCTTGAAAGTTTGTGTTTTAATAAGATATCGTTTCATCTATCCCATGTGTCTCAGATCTTTTGCACTTGCTTCCTTCTTCACTAGACGGTGTCCATATTATGGGTATTGAGCTGGGTGAAAGGGTTAAATCCTAAGCAGGACACGCAGCTTCCTGCTTAGGGTTAAGGTTACTATTTCTCAGCCTAAACCTACTTCTCAGGGTTGTTGTGCATGAATTGAGAGGACAAAACTATATTTAAGCACACTCTGAACCACTGGGATGAAGCAAGAAATAAATTGTTTATTTCACAATCCCCACTGATGTCCCTGGTGCCTTACTGACCCAATGCTTTGCAGTGATTAGAATGTTGGACTGGGACAGGGGACCTGGAGGTTCAGTCCTCACTCAGCCATGAAGCTCCCTGGGTGGTGATCTTGGGCCAGTCACTCTCTCTTAGCCAGCCTAGCTCTCAGGGGTGGCTGTTCTGAAGTTAAAATGGAAAAAGAGAACGTTGCATGCCACCTTCAGCTTTTCAGAGAAAAGGTGGGATATAGATGTTATTAAGTAAGAAAGCACCTGGAATGAACTTACGGAGAAATATATTTCCTTTTAAAGATCCCTGTGCCACAGAGCTTACAATGAGCACTTCTACACGGGGTGAACTAAGAGTGGGAGAAGTGGAGGAGAAAAATGGGGGGAGCAAGAGCAAAAGGACATACATTTTCTCTCTTCAGAGCAGTTGCATATTACTTTACTTTAATGGCAACTAATTAGTCCCTGGTTAATTCTCATGCTGCAATTGCACCATGTCTACTTCCTGCAAGGAACTGCCATCCCATGATTCCTTGCCAACAGTAATGGAACATGGGAGGGCATCAGACTCTGTACAATAATTACTCTAATTGCCAGGACTGTTGCAGTTTATGGTAGGGACAATCTGACCTTCAGTCTTGTATGACTTTCTTTTATTCACATACCAATTGTTCATCAGTATGTTTTGGATTTACAAAGCCAGTGTGAAAGTTCCATCTCACTCACGATTAAGTTCTGTAAATCTCTGTGAAATTATCCTTAATATGCACAGCTGCTCAGATACTGTATTCATAAACAGAAAGGGGAGAAATAGTTTTAGTTAAAGTCGCAATCGGTGGTCATAGTTGCATAGCTACCTAAGTTTTACAGGGCAGTCTTGTGCATGTCTACTCAGAGTAAGCAATCCATGGAAGCTTACATCAAGGTACCTGTTTCTAAGAGTGCATCCACAGGTAGAAATCTGCCCTCTTGCTAAAGGTAAAGTTAGAGACCCCTGACCATTAGGTCCAGTCGTGGCTGACTCTGGGGTTGTGGCGCTAATCTCGCTTTATTGGCCGAGGGAGCTGGTATACAGCTTCCGGGTCATGTGGCCAGCATGACTAAGCCGCTTCTGGCAAACCAGAGCAGCGCACGGAAACACCATTTACCTTCCTGCCAGAGCGGTACCTATTTATCTACTTGCACTTTGACGTGCTTTCGAACTGCTAGGTTGGAAGGAGCGGGGACTGAGCAACGGGAGCTCACCCCGTTGCGGGGATTCGAACCGCTGACCTTCTGATCGACAAGTCCTAGGCTCTGTGGTTTAACTCACAGCACCACCTGCGTCCTGCCCTCTTGCTTAGGAAGAATCTTAAGAACTTGAGAAGTGTGGAGATTAGTGTATCAGGGACTGTATCAATCATTAATAGGGACAAAGTGCTAGTGGAAATATAGTGGTGCTCACTTATTTGAGCAGAAAAGGCAGTTGTAGTGTTGTCTAGCCTCAGCTATACAGTGGACAGCTCAAGAGTCAGAGCAAAGGAAGTTTGGCAACGATCCCTTTTGGTAAAATTGGTTTGCATTTGGCAGCATTCCAATAGTTGAAAGGGTGAGGTGCCCCTATCCATGATCTGCTGCAAAAACCTGGCCAGTGAGAGACTTAACCGTGCCCAACAGCTGAATTCAGAGGAAGGGGAGCTCAACTGCCAAAGGACCAGGGGTTGTATGGGTGCAAGGATTTGCTGGAAGACTTATGGAACAGACACCACTAGGTTCTGAAGTGAAAAGAATTATGGCAGAGAATGGAATAAATGCATTCTGTCTCTCCCTAAAATTTAGTATTTTTGTGATTCTTCTTGAGTATGCAAATAAGCCTCGCCTTATCTGTCTCCATTATGCTGAAGGAATTCAAACATCACCATCCCTTTGGAAGACTCTAAGCATGGGAGATTTGCAGGGTGTAGTCTAGAGTGTCCCAAGCTGAATTGCATTCACCTCTCATGTATTTCTGCAACAAGACTGGAGCCTGTTGGAAGGAGAGCAATGATCTGGGGTTGTTGCTGTTTAATTATTGTTGGTCAGAAAATCATGAACCCACAATCTTGTACAATAAATGAGCATTATTTCCCACTGCATGGATACACTGTGTGCATGTGATCTATGTGTAATGTTTTCCTTACACAGGCGTGATATCTGTATAGGAATTAATGCGTGAGGAAAAAGTCCACAAAGATATCAGCCAGGGCAGTTTTCCTGAAGAGGCATTTGTGATTGCCTGGAGAAGTAGCAGCCAATCTTCCTTAGCCTACACGAAACAACATATATATATGTATATTGCACAAGTTGCAAACCACCGTGGGAATAATTCATTTTGAACGGTAGGTAATAAACTTATTAAATGCAACATACAAAAAATGTGTGCATGGACAGGATAAGGCCCTCAATAGCTACAAGTTGTGATGGCTCTGTACTCCCTCCGAGTCCCAGTCACTGGGGAATAACTGCAAAGAGGGCTATTGTACCCATCTCCTGCTGGTGCTACCCTCCGCCAAAAAAGGCCTCTGATTGGCCTGGACTAGACAGGTGTTTGATCTCACCCAGCACAGCATGATCTTTTGTCCTACAACATAAGAAAAGCACAGAGCTATAGAAATATATTTGTTTTCCTTGGGGGCAGGGGTCTCTCAAGAGCCCAAGACATTAATGAGTTGTCTGCCAAACTTTCTGGAGAGCCAAATCGAACTTTTGAGAAAGAGCACATACTATATAGTCCACAAGGGGCAGCGCCACTTCAGAATGCAAGTGGGTGGAATTGTATGTTTGAATACTCCTTGCACATTAGAAAAAAACCCTCCCCAACCCATAGAAAACTAGCTTAAGACAGAACCTGATAGGCCAAGGAAGAAACACTACTAACTGAACTGTTAAGAGGATCTCCTCTCTCTTCCCTCCCTTCCCCCAGCCCCACTGCCCTCCTCTCCAGACCTACCACAATGTGCCCTTCTGCGCCTGTTATCGTCATGGCTTTTACCATCCTCCTGTGTCAAGGAACCTGTGCTCAGGAGTTCCCTATTCACACTCAACAGCATCATCATGACCAGTACTGGTACCAAACCACAGGAGATCAAGTCCCAGTGATCAGTGAGTCAATTCTCTTTTGGAGAAGGGGTTTTGGATATGCAAGAAGCAAAATGTACCCACTCCCCGTCTTGTTATTAGGAAGCTAGATTTGGGTCTTTGGCCTGCTTTCAGTTCCATCACATCTACTCGGAAAAGAGAGCCAAGCTATACATTACCCATTTTACACCGCTGTATTTTACAAGTCCCAATTATTTCATGCCTCCACACCATTACAACACCTGCATTTTTCCTGTACATTCTCAACTTTCAAAGTGTGATTGAGCAAGACCTTCAGTTAGGAAGGCAAACCGTTACTGGAGTCTTTGTGAGTCCCCCAGGCCAGAACAGTGCATGCTGAAACTCCGCACAAGGGCAGCACCACACAAAATATGGTACTGGAAGATTTCAGGCAGCCAACACTCATGATGTGATAGGGGCAGGCATTACAATATATGACAGTCTAATGCCAATAAGGGAAACAACAAAGCATTGGGAAGGGTTAGGAGCTGGGACTCTCACAGACCAAAGCTATAGCCAATGAGAAAGGAGCGTGCAGGACTTTGCTGTGGTTTCTCAAAGGGAGCTCTTGATGGCTCCCACCTCAGGTCTTTGTTTCCTCCCTGCTCCAGGTGGCGGCACCTGCAAGGTGATTGCTATCCGCCGCTGCTGTAACCGCAACCACATCGAGGAGAGGTCCCAAACCATCCAGTGCTCCTGTCTCCCAGGGAAAGTGGCTGGGACAACCCGTGGCAAACCTTCTTGCGTGGATAGTAAGTGCTTGGAGGCAAGGCCTCTCCCCACTTCCAGAAGGAGGGAAGTCCAGGGGGACCAAGGAACATGCAGGGAACCCAAACACCTGGGGCCTTGGAGAGGGGAGCGAATAGGAAAGTGATTGGAGGCAGGATGGGGAAGGACCATAGTCTTTTAACTGGAAAGAGGCCAGGATGTTGGAGGGAATGATGGTGAAGCGAGAGAATTCAGGGACGGAAGATGAAAGGGGTTGATCACTGCAGTCCCCTTTCTGAGAGGTGAAGGTAAGGGGAAAGAACAAACATTAGCTGCGTAGAGGATCTCTTGGGCAAAGTGCAAGGGAATGGATTGGTGAAGGTGGTAGCCCAGCCCTTCAAGCCTATGGGATTTACGGCACTTTTTAAATTTTTATACTGCAATCTGCCTTGAATCTTTGGGGCAGAGCAAGATGCAAACCTTAGAACAGCCAGGCAAGTCAATCTTTTTGGTCTGTGGCTCAGGAGGACGTTGGGAGGCTCACAGCTGCTCCTGACCTATAGCTTGCCTGTCCTAAAGGGTTTGCATGGATAGGACAGGCTGCCCACTCTGGAACAAGCGGTGGCAGAGACAGATCCTTATTTCTACTCTGCAGCTTCCATTGTAACTGGAAAGTGGTGGTGTGACATGGAGCCCTGCCAGATTGAAGAGGAGTGCAAAGCGCTGCCTGACAATTCCGGCTGGATGTGCTCACTAGGAAACCGTGTCAAAACCACCAAGGTACTAGTCCCTTAACATTCCCCACAGGAGGTGAAGCCTACAAAGGGCAAATGTGTACCAAGTCTCCTTTTCCACTTCCCAGCTGCTACCCTGTCTTGCTTTCCGTTTTGTTTTTTAAGCAGGTCCTGTGGATAAGGCTCACCTCCTTCCTCTATCTGACAAGTTGTCTTGTTTTCCCTTTCAGATCCACCCCAGGTATTGAGATCTGCAACGCCGAAGGATCCACCTCCCAAGTGAATACGACAGATACTTGGCGATGGCCAAAGGACCTTGCTACAGTAGGAAATACAATTCCTTACACAGCCACAGGACCAAATATCACAAAGGAAGCTACACTGCTCAATTAGCTGCGATGGGGAGGATCAAGTGGCCAGGGAGAGCAGGTGCTGGTACCCAGATTGGGCTTTGGTGCCTTTTCCAATGGTTGCTGCCGTCTTTGGCTAGGAATGGGATCAAAGACCTTTTTGCCTTTATCGGAGCAAAGGCTAAAATCTGTTTCCCTGGATTAATAGCAATGCAGCATGTCAGCTCAGACTTCTTCTGTACCTCCTCGATGCAACTTGCACAGTTAACTCCTCCCCTCCTCCCCTCCCTTTTGGCAGATGTCTAATTAAACTCTCCGGGACAGAAGCCATAGAGCCAGTTTGTATTTACACCTGTAACAGATAATACATACCATCTTTCTTTGAAAAGATCTTAAAATACAAGGAAGCCAAAGAGAAGGGGATTTGCAGTCTGAAAAGTATGCTATAAAGAGGTCTGGTTTTATATGTAAAGATGCACTCACTTTTAATGAGCATCATAGCAAATCACTGATATATATATAAAATAGGGTTTTTTCCGACATGTTAGTAGGCTTTTGTATAAAAATGGAAGTGGCATGGACCCAGCATTAAAAACATATAAAATGGCAATCACCATTCATTTTCAAGGATCAGAAATGTTTGGCTCAGATGTGGAGGGTTATGTCAACCTGGATCCCAGCAGAGCCTCAGATCCTTCTGCATCCCACAATTAAAAGGGTTGTTTCTTTATGCCGGGTGGAAACTGCAGGCAGATCAGAAGCTCTGCAACCCTCTTTGGCCCTCTGACCTGTCCTCGTTCGGAACGTTAAAGATGCTGGAGGCCGGTGCGTCACATTATTGGGGGTAAAACTTGGCTCCAGGGCAGGCCAGCGCAACTGATCCACTAAGCAGAATGCGGTCCACCAACCATGTTACTCCTGCAGCAGCAAAAACAGAGGGATTAACTGAGCCCCTGATGTAGAAGAGGGAGTCTTATTTTGGGAGCCGTGGCTCTTGATACATGGGCTCAGCTTTTCCTTGCTACCATCGCACCCCGTTAACTGCACACAATACCTGGTAGAACAAGGCCCCCCACTGCTCTGTTGACAGATTTTTTGCAAGCTAACCTGGGACGGGCTCTCCGACTACGGAGAAAGCAGAAGCCCCACCACTCAAAAGCCAGGGAGAGACAGCCTTTCTAAAGTCCTTCGTCATGACCATTTAATTGTTTGGACACATCCAGAAGCTACAGAGCTAAGAAACGTTGTCTCAGGATTCGTGTTAGCCGATCACCCAGCACAGGCTCTGGCTCCCCCAGCACACATGGAAGGATTCCTGGGGCTCATCGTGCCATCAACACAAAAGCCCACCAGAGAGGTAGATATGACATGGTTCAAATGTCGCTTAAGCCCCTGACCCCTTTCCCTCACTCCCTCCTTCCCAAAGAAAACTCTTGGAATGGCATTCCTTGAATGCTGGGGTTTGAGTGCTGCCGTGTGAACGTCTTGAGTAGCTTCAATGGGGAAATTCCTGCTCCAGTCCTACAAAAATAGACATCTCCTTGGACCCAAACAGTTTCATTGATAATGTCCATAGCCTGGATACCCTGGAGGTGGCGAGCCATCCTTAGGAGGCAGCTGGCTGGGGTCTTCTCCAAAGGGATTGGCTGAGAAGTGAAGACAAGAAGGGACAGTTAGCAGCAGGGAAGAGATGCGTGTGCAGTGATTCATGTTTTGCGCAGCCAAGGGCCACTATCTTTGGGGACAGAAATCAATGGAGGCGGCCGAGGTGCAATCGGGAGGAGAGATGTGGGCGAGGGTGACTCATTAACAAAAAAGTGAAAAGTAAAACCCAACTCCTGCGGCAAGAAAATGCAGAACAGGTTAGAATTTACACCTGTGAAAGGGACAAGGGAGGGTGTCAGACACCGTGGGAAAGGAGTGCAACTTCTGCAAGCATTTATAGAAGGAGCAGCAAAATGCCAATCGCAGCAAGTGGAGTGGCAGAAGGCTCTGTATTTTGCCAAGGGGGCGGTGGAACGACAAGCACTCGCGTGTATTGTAACACCACCCTGGTGTCAGGGGAGACCAAGCCAGGCACTGTCAGGGCTGGAGGCAAACTTTGCCCCCACAGCAATGCTGCCTGTCACTTCCCTCCCCACACACCCACGTCTGCATGAGAGAGTGGCAGCCGCTCATCCAGGGGGGAGAATGTGCTCTGCATGCTCTCGCTCCCACACAGATGACACCAGGCTTTTGCCTTCTCCTGAATGGGTTCCAGAATTCACCTGGTTTACTGTGTCCCGCAGAACAGAGCTGCAAGTAACTGAGAACTCAGCCTGCCCCAAACTATATAATCCCACTCCAGGAAGCCTGGTTGGGGAGCTGTTTTCTCTTAGAGTGCAGGTGTGATTGTTCAGTGGAACCCTGGGTAGGCTATGGGGCCGAAACCAAAGCGCAGAGAGGTCCTTTGGTTCCTAGTCCAAATCCATCCTTCTGGGAAAATCCCGAGTTCTGTTTCTTGCCACCATGTTGGAACTTACGGTTCTGGAACTGCTGGGCCGTGTACCTCGTCAGCAAAATCCCGACACCTTCTATCAGGGCAAGCAAGATGCCTCCCATCATAGCCGAGCCGACCATGGCCAAGGGCCCACCTAAGGGGAAAGAACTCTCAGTCCCAACGCCCTGGCTCAGCGTTCAGCCACAGGAGGTTAAGGGGAAAGGTGGAGGCGCTGCGGTTATAGGATCAATGGCCACCACTTACTGCGTGATGCTAACACAGCTCCCGTGAGCGCCCCGCTTGTGATGGAGTTCCAGGGATCCTCCTTGCCCCGCATCTTCACTAGGCCGCAGTCAATGGTGGAGAAGAGCCCGCCCCACACGGCAAAGCTGCCTGCGAGGAGGAACACAAGGAGAGCATGTGGAGGCACCAGCTGGACTCAGGGATGTTCATTTGTAACTGGCACCAAAAGGTATTAGAATTCTGTGCCAAGCAAAGCCAAATGCTTGGCTTACACAATGTGCCCTGCGCACGTGCTGAATTGGGCTGAGACAGGGTAGAACTCTGACAACACGCTGTCAAAGAACCAGGCAGCCTTACGGGGTCAGTGGGAGCACCAGGGATCGATGGGGAGATTGAAGGCTTGGAGCTCCGGAAGAAGGGCCAACAGCCACTCCAGGACACACAAGTTATATTCTCCCCACGAACAGATTGTTAAACTTATCTCCAAGGACTGTGAAAGGCAGAAACAAATTTTTGTTTTGATTTTGTAAAACACTGACTCATGGCTCGTTTGCCAGGCACTTGGAGTTCTGCGCAAGCAGAATCACACAGGTGGTAAGATCACTAATGGTACCATCTCTGTGTCACGTTCAGAGAGGAAGGGTGTGAAGAGAGGCATTCTTAGCGGACGCCTCCCTTCTCTCAAGAAAAGTATGGCTCCACCTCCTGCTGTAGGACTTGCCCAAGTTGAACCTTGAGGCCACTTCAGAACCACCTCAATAACTACTGGGGGGCAACCTGCCTTTTCCAGCTGTAGGTTGAGCCAGGAAAAGTGGGGATTTAAGTTGAGGTTTATAATGGTGAAATGTCATTCTGTTTCACTAGGATTCATTTATTGAGTCACTTACTCTAAGGCTACAATCCCAAGCACACTTATCTAAAAGTAAGCCTCACGGAATACATATGGTCTTGCTTTTGACCAAACCAATATGAGATTTAACTGTCAGCTTTGGGACTGGGCTATACAACTAACTCATTATGACAAAACAGCCTCCAAGCCAGCACATCATACTCTACACATTCTTCTCTTTAATTCCTGCCTCACTTGGCCAGCAGTTATAATATTTGATTTATATCACACTTTTCTTGAAACTTCCCCTTGGGATGCCCCACTCCACACATTTTACAGTCACAACGACCTTGTGAGGTAGGCTGAGAGACAGTGACTGGTCCAAGGTCACATCCAGTGAACTTCAAGGCTGACAGGGGATTTGAACCGTGGTCTGACACTTTTATCCACAATACAGCACTGCTGGTTCTCCTTTAAAATAAACCAAATCCTGATCCACCTCACCCCACAGTCTGTCTGATCCATCTTTTTCTTTACAACACTGCCCACATCCCCACCAGCCAACCCAAGGATCAGGTCACTTCCCTTACCTCCAATCTGTGGTGCTCTGACTCTGATAGCGTTAATGCTGCCTTTGAACCGATGCCTGACACCCTAGGAAAGAGAGGAGGAGAAACTACCTTAGTCAAAACTCACAACGGACTGAGGGAGAAAACCACACCCTGGAAAAAATGTTCAAGCACAGGGTAGAAGAGGCTGTAAGGGGAGCCAAGGCAGGTCAATCTCCACATCTCAAGGAACACAGGCACATACAATTCTCAAACTCCAATGATACTGTGGAGCCAGAAGCCACAGGTCTCGATCCACGGAAGGCAGGTGTCTCTGCAACTGCCACTTTCCCACCAGAAAAACAGGTTGTCTACCTGACCTCAGTTATCCAGCGGGATAATCTCAAGCATTAAACTCTCCACAATTTAATCTATGAGAGGCAGACCATGGTGTGACACAATGGGGGGTGGGAATGGGAAACGTCATACAAAACTATACCAAGGTCTGACACACAGAACTGCAAGGCAAACGTTGCAAGACAAAAATAGGAAGAGGAGGTACTCTTGTTTTGGAGACATCGGAGAGCAACAACATTTAAAATGCATGTAGTTTCTTTCAAGTGTTCAAATGGCATGTGCATTATGGCAGTAATCATTTCAACAATGCTGTAGGGCCGGTCACTCCATTAACTCCATACTACAGATGTGACAGCTGAGTTACCTAAGATAGAAATGGGCAGACTTAAGGTTTGCATGATCTACTGTTCTGCTTAAGACAAAAGCAACTGAGAATCCAAGGGGAAGGGGCTGGGGGCAAGAACAAATTCTGCCTGGCCAGTCGAAATGAAAATAACCCTGTTCAATCCCTCCTCTTAACAGAAAGCAATTACCAAACTTACTCATTGAAACTCTTTCCAAGCACTTACAGCAGGGGTCAGCAAACTTTTTCAGCAGGGGGCCGGTCCACTGTCCCTCAGACCTTGTGGGAGGCCGGACTATATTTTTTTTTTGGGGGGGGGAGAATGAGCGAATTCCTATGCCCCACAAATAACCCAGAGATGTGTTTTAAATAAAAGCACACATTCTACTCATGTAAAAACACGCTGATTCCCGGACCATCTGCGGGCCGGATTGAGAAGGCGATTGGGCCGGATCTGACCCCCGGGTCTTAGTTTGCCTACCCATGACTTAGCGTTAGGGCATAAATGCTCAAACCTGCATGTGAACAGGACAAAAAGGAGAATAACAAGCTCACAGATGCAAACCCCTTGATTGTAGCTCGCATCAGAAGGAGCGAAGCACAAAACAGTAGCTCAGAAGGGCAGCATCAGTCACAATTACCTATAGATGACCAGAAGCCTCTAACCCCCATAAAACGCATGGGGAAAGCTGCACAAATAACTGGTCAAAGGTAACTAATTAACAGCCACATTTGACACGTAAGGAACATGGAGCCTGACAGCAAAGTAAATAGCCTCAGTTTTAATCCCAGGTTGCCATTCTAAACACTTTTACCTGTAAGTCCCGTTAAAATCAATGGGCAACTTGAGTAAGCAATCATATGATCAGACTGTAAACACCCGGGCACATAACTCAATGCAGACTGTTTCTGTAATTAGCTCTTCATCCAGTTTGTCCCCAAAGTATCAATCTGGGACATAAAACATGGTCCAAGAAGAAGCAGGCTTGGGGGCAAACTAGATGAGATTGTAGAAGACAGGGGAGTGGATCTCCTGGTGTTCCCACAAAAAAAAAGTTAGAAACAAAACACAGGGCATCTCAGTGAAATCAGGGCTGCACCAGGGCGTGTTTTTGAAAGATACCTTCCCTAATCTAGATCATCCACCAACAATGAAAGATGTTATTTGCCATGCAGAAGGAAACATCCAGGTATCCTCTCTGAAGTACAGTACAAAAGGACCAGCACTCTCATCCCAGCTTGGGGCCGGGAACACCGGGGGCTTGTACCGCTGTTGTGCTGAACTTTGGAAATGCTCAGAGTGCTTCTGAAGGTCTTCCAGATGCCCCAAGCAAGACCCGGCCTCAAGGCCTCCATCTCCCACAACAGACAAAAACAGTCTCAAAACTGGACCGCTGAGTTTTCCTCCGAGCACTTACAGCCCGAAGACGGAGAGTGAATGCTCAAAAGTGAGGAGACAGGCTTGACATACAAGCAGCAGGAGCACAAACTCTACACGCTTGACTCCCAGGCGACAGGGAGGAGGAAGTGGAGCGACACTTATTGAGATGGTGCCAAAAGTGGCAACGCCACCTGCTCAGAATAGAAATATGTTCTCCCTTGCTGCTGCCTACACAGCCATGAGCAATTTTCTGCCCAGAGATCAGTTCTGGAGCACAAGCCAGTTATAGACCTATAAGCCCAGCGGCCACTTTTGTGGAATCCTACACCTCAGGTTCTGCCCGTGTATTTTCCTCAGCTGAGGGGAAAGGAGTATGGGGATTCAGGGATGCAGCAATCCTTGTTGGTGTGCCTCAGACCTGCCAACTGTGATGTGATACAGGCAACAACTGTTTTGAATGGGGGTTATGTTCCTGACCCCCACCTGCCCAGCCCCCTTTTCTGACTACGGTGGTATCTTGGTTCTCAAATGCCTTGGTTCTCAAACGCTGAAAACCTGGTTCTGGTTTTTGAACGTTTTTTGGAAGCCAAACGTCCAATGCAGCTGTCAGCTATTGTTTCCAGGGTGCCTGACCAAGCAGAAGCTGCACCTTGGTTTTCGAACATTTCAGAAGTCAAACGGACTTCCGGAACGGATTAAGTTGGGCACTTTTGTTTTTGAGGCTTTTTCGGTTAATTTGTTTTTGCGACTGTGTGGAACCCAGTTCAGCTACTGATTGACTGATTGTGTGACTGCGGAAATGGATAAAAGCCCCCCATCAAAACAATTACTATCATCAGTGCAGATAAGGGAATTTTTTTTAACAATTTTTTATCATCTACAATACTGTCTTATTTATTTTATAGTGCAGAACATTGATGATTGCTTTCATTTTATAGATCACTGGTCTTATTAGATAGTATAATTCATGTTAAATTGCTGTTTTAGGGTTGGCTAGGTGTGCTTTGTACCAGCTTCCGCTGGTAAGACAGCTACGGTTTTCCTGGATCAGGATAGCTCAACCACAGTTGTCCATACACTGGTTACCTCAAGGTTGGATTACTACAGTGCACTTACCGTATTTTTCGCTCTATAACACGCAGATTTTTTCTCCTAAAAAGGAAGGGGAAATGTCTGTGCGTGTTATAGAGCGAATGTGTGGTCCCTGGAGCCAAAAAATCAAGCAAAAGTCAAACCGCGAGTCACGGAGAAGGGAAACCTGAAAAGAGGAAGTGGCAGCTTTCCTGCATTCTGCCTCAGGGTCTTACTGCCCACCCTCCTCTGTTTCGTTGCTGTGATTGCTGAAACGGAACAAAGAGCAGGGAAAGCCCCTCCCCTCCAGGCAAGCAGAGTGTCGCTCTTTCTAATTCCTCTCTGTGCTCCGGTGCTGCTGGGGGAGAGGGAGAGGGAGAGGGGGGAGGGAGAGGGAGAGGGGGGGAGGGAGAGGGAGAGAGAGGGGGGAGGGAGAGAGAGGGGAGGGAGGGAGGGAGAGGGAGAGGGAGAGGGAGAGGGAGAGAGAGAGAGAGAGAGAGAGAGAGAGATGGCTGGCTTGGGGGGGAACTTTTGCCTTTCTTTCCTCCCACCCCAAATCCCTCTCCAGCATTCTTAGCCAGCTGTTCTCTGCACACCCCTCTCATGTCCCTTCTTTGTTTTTCCTTCGCTCCCCACTTAAAATGTGGTTACAAAGCATAGATCAACATGGATCCTCAGGATCTTTGCATTGGGTCACCCCAAATTCACCATCAGATCACATAGCATGTCCATGGCTACAGCCTGCACCAAAAAAATCACGCACCCACTGTTGCCTGGGGCTGCAATGGTGCAAAAACGTGGTTAAAAAGCATGGATCCACATGGATCCTCAGGATCTTTGCATTGGGTCACCCCAAATTCACCATCAGATCACATAGCATGTCCATGGCTACAGCCTGCACCCAAAAAAAGCACGCACCCACTGTTGCCTGGGGCTGCAATGGTGCAAAAATGTGGTTACAAAGCATGGATCCACAGGGATTCTCAGGATCTTTGCATTGGGTCACCCCAAATTCACCATCAGATCACATAGCATGTCCATGGCTACAGCCTGCACCAAAAAAATCACGCACCCACTGTTGCCTGGGGCTGCAATGGTGCAAAAACGTGGTTACAAAGCATGGATCCACATGGATCCTCAGGATCTTTGCATTGAGCTACCCCAAATTCACCATCAGATCACATGTCTGTGGCCACAGCATGAAGCACAAAAATGATACATCCACTGTTTCATTCAGAATGTTTTTTCCCTTGTTTTCCTCCTCTAAAAACGATGTGCGTGTTATGGTCAGGTGCGTGTTATAGAGCGAAAAATACGGTAATTTAGGGTCCAGATCTGGGAACTGCAGCTAGCAAAGAACACATTGGCTAGGCTGCTTGTAGGGGCAACTCCAGCATAGAATTCCTTTTCAGTAGCATCTGTACTGGCTGCCAATCTGCTACCAGGCCACGTTCAAGGTCTGAGTAGTAACATCTAAGGTCCTATGCATACAACTCCCTCCGATTTCATATTAGACAGGTGCCCTCTCCACTGTCTTTTTGGTGCCTGCTCTTTCAACAAGTGGAGATCTTCATCCCAGGCTGCATCTGTACTGGAAATATTTCTAACTGTTATTATAGGTAGGATTTGTTTTTAAATGTTTGTATTGGTCTTATATATGGAGTTGTTTTTAATTCCTTGCACTTGTTTAATGGTGATATCCGTTGTCTTTGTTTTACAATTGTATATTTTGTTGTTGTAACCCACCCTAGGACCCTTGTGGTAAAAGGCAGGTAAGAAATCTAAATAAATAAATAAATAAATAAATAAATAAATAAATAAAATGCAGAGCTTGGGACCAGGTCATATAAGAAACCATAGCTAGTAGACCCTGCATTTTGAAGGAGCCCCTGGATTACCAAAGCAGATATACAGTGGTACCTCAGGTTAAGTACTTAATTTGTTCCGGAGGTCCGTTCTTAACCTAAAACTGTTCTTAACCTGAAGCACCACTTTAGCTAATGGGGCCTCCCGCTGCCACCGCACCGCCGGAGCACGATTTCTGTTCTCATCCTGAAGCAAAGTTCTTACCCTGAAGCACTATTTCTGGGTTAGCGGAGTCTGTAACCTGAAGCGTCTGTAACCTGAAGCGTCTGTAACCCGAGGTACCACTGTACAGGAAGGTTGAAGTTTCCTCTCTCAATCTAATTTCTCCAATACAAAACCCCATCAGCCTTAATATATGCTGAGTTGCATCCCAAAAGGATTGAACCATGAACCACTATTGTGTATTGGCTCTTTAGGGATACCCATTCTTGGCAGACAGTACACAGCAATCACCAACTCCCACTAAAGAAGCACACTTCTGAGGACAGCCAATCCACATTAACTTGTGCTCAGCAGAACCAGCTTGCGATTATTGGCATGCTGGAAGAGCCAACCAGCAGCACAGCAAAATGATCACTAGCCATAAAATTTCTGGTTCTCATTGGCAACCAAAAATATTAGATCACTTATCATCTCAGGCAAGTGTATTATAGGATCACTGGCCTTCAAAGCCCCATACGTGTGCTAGGGGGAGTGGTGCAGGAAAAACAACTTACTCCTTAACCTAAAGAAAACAAAAAAGATTACTGTGGACTTTAGGAAATGTAAATTAAATATTCAGCCACTTATTATTGAGGGGAAGTGTGTGGAACAGGTCTCGGTGTTTCGATTTCTGGGAATGGAGTTGAGAGATGACCTAACCTGGGGAGAAAACAGCAAAGACCTGATGAAGAGAGCACAGGTGCCATAAGAAAGCTGCAGAGATAGTGGAGGATAGTGCGCACTGATCTCTTTCAGCTTCTGCCTTCTGGAAGAAGGTACAGGGTTATAAAGACTAGGACTAGCCGCCTGAGAAACAGTTTCTATCCAAATGCGATTTTGGTTTTAAACGCAGTGTAAGGTAGTCTCTATGGGAGTATATTGTATTTAATTATGGGGTATCAGAGTTTTTAGGGGGCTAACCAGACTGGGATAGCAGGCTTGTTGGTTTTTGAATGTCTGATGTAGCTTTTTTTAATTTCGTTATTCTGTATGGGACAATGACAATAAAGATTATTGTATTGTAATATTTCGAAACCAGTTTGAAAACAAAAGCTGGGCTACTCACAAGCATACAATCTAACATACAAAGAAAGAGAGCGGAGGGGAAGGGAAAGGATAGGTAGGGAAATGTTTTAGGATTTGCAGGAGCCAATCTGGGCCAGGGTTCTTTATGAATCTATGTCTTCTGACCCCATCCATGTCCCTCACTTGCAGCTTGAAGGAAAGAGAAGGAGGAAAGAAGGTTGGGACTCACCACTGGAGCATTGCGGAAGCCTTTGACAGCCTGGAAGACACCTCCTCCAATCATCCCCATAGTGAAGGCGCCACCACAGTCATCTACAATTCGCCAGGGGCTGCCAAATGGAAAGAGAAGTGAAGTTAGTGGAGGCCCTGAAAGCCCCCCAAAATAAATAAATAAATAAATAATAATAATAATAATAATAATAATAATTTATTATTTATACCCCGCCCATCTGGCTGAGTTTCCCCAGCCACTCTGGGCGGCTCCCAATCAGTGTTAAAAACAGTACAGCGTTACATATTAAAAACATCCCTGTACAGGGCTGCCTTAAGATGTCTTCTGAATGTCAGGTAATTATTTATCTCTTTGACATCTGATGGGAGGGCGTTCCACAGGGCGGGTGCCACTACCGAGAAGGCCCTCTGTCTGGTTCCCTGTAGCCTCAATTCTCGCAATGAGGGAACCGCCAGAAGGCCCTCGGCGCTGGATCTCAGTGTCCGGGCTGAACGATGGGGGTGGAGACGCTCCTTCAGGTATACAGGACCGAGGCCGTTTAGGGCTTTAAAGGTCAGCACCAACACTGTGAGAAAGAGATGACTTAGAAATGGTGCTAAGCAGCTGGGGGGACGGGCAATCTTAAGAGACCTTAAAGGTAAGGGTAAAGGGACCCCTGACCATTAGGTCTGGTCGTGGCCGACTCTGGGGTCGCGGCGCTCATCTCGCTTTATTGGCTGAGGGAGCCGGCATACAGCTTCCAGGTCATGTGGCCAGCATGACTGAGCCGCTTCTGGCGAACCAGAGCAGCGCACGGAAACGCCGTTTACTTTCTCGCCGGGTGTACTATTATCTACTTGCACTTTGTAATTTATCTACTTTTTTGGTAAATGAGGTATGACTGTATAGGGGCTTGCACACCATTGTTCAGGGTTCTCCTCCCTCCTGCATGTGGTGAGTGGGGACCCTGTTGCAACAGTTTATTTCCTTTAATAATTAATAATCAGGCTGACTAGCCGCTTCGCTTTGAATCTACTCTGCTTGGCCTCTGCTATCTCCCCGACCCATAAAGATCTCCTGAGAGAAATCTATACAGGTTCTAGATATCCCAGAGGTCAGCAAACGTTTTCAGCAGGGGGCCGATCCACTGTCCCTAAGACTTTGTGGGGGCCGGACTATATTTTGAAAAAAAATAATGAACTGATTCCTATGCCCTACAAATAACCCAGAGATGCATTTTAAATAAAAAGATACATTCTACTGATGTAAAAACACGCTGATTCCCAGACCGTCCGCGGGCCGGATTTAGAAGGCGATTGGGCCAGATCCGGCCCCTGGGCCTTAGTTTGCCTACCCATGAGATATCCCATAAGGGAATCCCCTCAGCCACCGGGAGCCGCTGGCTTCCCTGCTCACCCGGCCCCACCTCGCAGGGCTGTTGTGCCGGTGCAGGAGGAGAGGGGCCGGAGGGAAAGGGGCGCGGGACGGACGTGCCCCCCACCCGCCACCGCCGCTTCCGGGGCCGGAAAACGGGGCCTCGCCTCAAGCTCGCCTCCGCTGAGCCCCCGGCAGCCCCCGCTCCCAGTTACCAGGGCTCCCGGGCATATTCCTCCATGGCTCCCGGCCGCAGGCTCCGCGGATCACGTGACAGGGGAGTCACCTGACAACCAACTATTGGCCAGCTTCAGTCACGTGAAAGGGGCTCTTCTGCTCTAGAGATAGGAAGCTCTAGAGATAGAAAGCCTGCGTTCAGTACCGACGAAAGAAGAGTGACAGAGGAAGGTGATGGACTTTGCGGAACTGGCGAAACTGGCGGGAAAAATCCGAATCCAGCATGATCAAGTATTCCAAAAGGACTGGGGTGAAAGATTATTGTAAGCAATTAGCATCCCTAGCAGGGTTGTCTGAAGACTTGTAATGAGAAAATTTCTACCTTTCTGTATTTATTTAAATGTTGAGCCATTCTGAAATGGGTGTAATTAGAAATGGAAAACGTATAAATTGCAATGCGATAAAGCGTTGAATCCCGCGCGGGTGCGCTCCGTGCTGTCACGCCTATAGCATTTCGAAAGTCCCCGGTGCATGAGGATAATAGGGACTAGCGGAAGGAAGCGTTTCCGTGTGCGCTCGGCCGCCATGAGCAGCGATGTCAGCTGGCCCTACCTGGAAGTGTTTCGACAGCGTGGCCCCGGCCTTGAGGATGGGCCGCAGCCCAGAGTCTGGAAGACTGGCCGACGGGAGGGTAGCCTTATTTAACCTTTAAGGTTAATTTCGAAAGTCATTAGGCAGGAGGGAAGGACAGTTGAATAGGCATCTAAAGCCAGGGCGGTTTAGTGGATAATGATGATAGTGAATGTATAATGTTAATGGAAATAAAATTGTGTGTGTGTATGAGAAATCCTGCCGTTCGCATCAAGAAAATGATTTCGCGTGGCCAATGGTAGTATCCTCTTTATATATTGGAAGCTCTGTGGTATGTGTATAAGTACCACTTATAAACACGATCTCCAACTCCTCCATCAACGGTGTCTCCAGAAAATTTTACACATCACTTGGGGAGACAAGCAAACTAATGTCCGTGTACTGGAAGAAGCAAAGATCACCAGTGTCAAAGCAATGATTCTTCAACATCAAGTTATTTGGACTGGTCACATTGTGCAGATGCCCAATTATCATCTTCCAAAGCTGTCACTCTGTTCCAAACTTTAAAATAGAAAGCATAATGCTGCTGCTCAACAAAAAAGGTTTAAAGACTCTCTCAAGGCAAATCTTTAAAAATGTAGTATAAACACTGACAATTGGGAAACACTGGCCTGTGAGTGCTCCAGTTGGAGAACAGCCTTTACCCTCATCATGATCAACTCCTATCCGGAAACCTATGTCCCCACTGTGGAAGGATGTACGGATCCTTACAGACTCACTGTTAAGACCTTGTTCATGGAAGACAATCTTACTCGCCTACGAGTGATCATCAAAGAAGATGTATATGCACATGCATGAGTATATTTGTTGGCATCCTTGTCTCGGGACAGTGGAGGAGTGTGTCTTCGGAGGTAAAGTCAAACTGTTGGAGAGTTAGTGTCTACTTTGGCCAGTGCCGTATTAAGGTTTGATGAGGCCCTAAGTTACTGAAGGTAATATTCCTTTATATGTCCAGCTGTCCTTTGTCAACAACAAATTGTTGCTGTTTTTTGTGTTGACTATATGCTATATGGTAATTTATGGCAGTGTTTCCCAACCTTTTTTGGGCAAAGGCACACTTGTTTCATGAAAAAAATCTCGAGGCACACCACCATTACAGCCCCGTGACGTCAGCGCGCAGCGTCACGCCGGGAGGGACGCACGAAAGTGTAAGATTCAATTTTTTCCCTCCCCCTTGCCTTCCTTCTGTGCCAACCGCCAAAAAGCCAAGAATCGCGGGACCGCCGGCGGAGGGGGGGAGGGCGAGCGGAGGCAGCGGCGAGCCCCGTTCCTCCCCATCCGCCCCATTCCGTGCAAGGAGCGCGAACAGGTGTGAGAAGGGGGTCAAACCTGCGGGTCGGCGCCGGGGAACCTCCAAGCTTTGGGGGTGGGGGGGAGGAGGCAGCAAAGCGAGGCAGGAAGGAGAGCGCGGCTTGGCGAAGTACTCGGCGGCGAAGGCCAGCAGGTCCGGCGGCCGGTGCCGCAGCACCTCCACCGTGTAGCCCTGCAGCAGCTCAGTCAGACCCGGCGGGATCTCGATGCTCATCTTGTAGCCGAGGCGCGCGGGAGACTCAACGGACGGGCCCGGGAGAGAGAGAGAGAGAGACACGACGGAGAGAGAGCGGGAGTCCCTGCTCGCCGTCGCCACCGCTACAACTACTGTGGCGGTTGGTCGTGGTCGCCGCCGCCGCCGCCCACCTCTATCTATCTCTCCCCCTCAGCTTTCTACGCGGGCCTCGAGCCGGAGGTGGGGGGTGGCCGCCGCCGCTTTCTCCGCCTCCACGTCCTGCCTCCTCCTCCTCGAGCCCTCCGTCAGCCCTGAGGGAACCGCCGCGCTCGCGCCGCCGCTCTCTGACACGTGAGAAAGAGAAAGGAACGGAGCGGCGGGGTAGTCGGGGGAAGGAGGGGCCGGAATGGAAGCGCGAGGCGAGCTGCGCATGCCCAACAGGAAGCGGCGGAGAACGCCACAGAGAGAGAGAGAGAAGCAAGGGAGGGCGGGGAGTGGGCGGGAACACGCTTCATGCGTCACAATAACGGACAAGAGGCGCTCGAGGGGTAGATTAGGACCTAATTTGACTTTTACAAAAACAAAAAAAATCTTTCGAATTTTCCCCACGGCACACCAGGCAACATCTCGCGGCACACTAGTGTGCCGCGGAACAGTGGTTGGGAAACACTGATTTATGGACCTAACAGGTTTCCAAATCCATTTGCACATGTTGCCCTGCAACCAGTCCATGCAGAATGTAGACACCCTATATATAGAAATGAACAAACCAGTGATATTTGAGGGAGCAGGCTACCAGACGGGGCCCATAACTTACATCATAGGAGCCTACGCAACACAAAACACTGTTGCTGTACGTAGATTATATTTTATCTGTTTTTTATATTTTGGAAATGTACATTCAGGTTTTTTCCCCTTTACATTTTTTGGGGCCCTCAAGAGAGTGGGGCCCTAAGTTATACAGTGGTACCTCTGGTTGCAAACGGGATCCGTTCTGGAGCCCCGTTCACAACCTAAGCAGAACGCAACCCGCATTTGCGCGTCACGATTTGCTGCTTCTGCGCATGCGCTTGACGTCATTTTGCGCGTCTGTGCATGTGCATGCACAAGCGGCAAAACCCGGAAGTGACCCGTTCCGTTACTTCCGGGTCGCAGCGGGACGCAACCTGAAAACGTTCAACCTGAAGCAAACGCAACATGAGGTATGACTGTAGTTTGTTTAGCTTATATAATAATAATAATAATAATAATAATAAATTTTATTTATATCCCGCCCTCCCCAGCCGAAGCCGGGCTCAGGGCGGCTAACAACAATAAAACAGTACAAAAGTACAACATAAACAACATTCTAAAATCATTCATTATAAAAATTAATTAATTCAAGGCACTAGCAACCATTGGGCCAGAGCTCCGCGAAGATTGCCGAGGGAGGGAGTCAGGCTGTGCCCTGGCCAAAGGCCTGGTGGAACAGCTCTGTCTTGCAGGCCCTGGGAGAGACATGTTTTCTTGTAAATGAAGGCCTCTGGTTGTGCTGCTGAAGATGCAAGTGGGCCCAATTCAGATGCGTTCCTTCTCTCTGCGCTCCTCCCAGCAGTCATTCCTCCTCTAGTCATTGCTGTAGATGCACAACCTGACTGTCGGTTTGCAGCCCAGACGCGGTTCCACGCCACTTCAGAAGTGCCAAGAAAGGGGATGGATGGCGATGAACGACTCTTCATTGCTGCCTCTATGGTCCTCCGCGGCCAATCAAAGAGAAGGCGGGCTCTCGGGGGCTTCACTCGCCCGCTCATTGGAGAAGCAAACCAAATCTCTGACTGATTGGCTAAGAGTAAGTCGAAAGTGGGTGGGCCCAGTTGGGATTCGTTTCTTGGGATTGGCCGGGGTGGGCTTTCCCCCTCCCCCCCCCAGCCCTGTTATTGCTCAAATCCTTTCAAGACGGGAAGAGGCCCAGGCGGGCTCTGCTTTCCTTTATACGATGATTGGTCGAGGCGCGTCACGTGCTGGGGGCGGGCGATGAAAAAGAGTCTCGCTCGACCCGAAGGAAGACTGAGGCTCCCCGGCTTGCGTTGAGGCGGGTATTGCCGAGAGGCGGCTTGGCTGCGCCGCGGTAGGTGGGAGATATATGGGGGGGGGGTCCTGAGGGGAGGCTGGGGAGGCCCTTTGCCGTGAGGGGGTCGGGGGGGGGGGCGGCTGAGGGTCGAGCTGTCTCTCCCTGAGGCGGCGAAGGGGCGCCTCGCCTGCCACACCTTGCACGTAGAAAGCTAGCATGTAAGGCAACCAGGCTCGAACCCCCTTTCCTAATGTTTTCCAGGACGTTTGGTCGTATTGCATCAGAAGCAGTGTGTGTGTGTGTGTGTGTGTGTGTGGCTATAGGGTGGTATATAAATTCTATTAATATTATTATTAATATTATTGTTGCTGTTATTGGTCCCTCAGCAGTTGGTCCCTTCCCTTTCTCGCCCCAACCTGGCCACAGTGATCCATGCGACGGTCACCTCCAGGCTTGACTACTGTAATTCGCTCTACGCAGGGCTGCCCTTGAAGCTGTCCCAGAAACTCCAGCGGGTGCAGAATGCCGCGGCGAGGCTCTTTACAGGGTCCTTGTCATGGGATCACATCCATCCAGTGCTTTACCAGCTGCACTGGCTCCCGGTGGAGTACAGGGTCAGGTTTAAGGTGCTGGTTTTGACCTTTAAAGCCCTATGCAGCCTAGGACCCTTGCACCTACAGGATCGCCTTTCCTGATATGCCCCACGGAGGACCTTAAGGTCCATAAATAACAACACTTTGGAGGTCCCAAGTCTCAAGGAGGTTAGATTGGTTTCAACTAGGGCCAGGGCCTTTTCAGCACTGGCCCCGACTTAGTGGAACGCTCTGTCACAAGAGACTAGGGCCCTGCAGGATCTGATTTCTTTCTGCAGTGCCTGTAAGACAGAGTTGTTCCGCCTGGCCTTTGGCTTAGAATCAGTTTGATTCCCTCCCCCTCTTTCTTTTTCCTTTCTCCTCCTGTGAAGAGGCTGCA